TATTTCCTTAGCTTAAGATTCCGTGGTAACTGAAAATTTCCATTTTTTGTGCTTTAAATCAACGTTTTTCAGATAAATCCACACAGAATTAGATTTCTAAGTTCTTTAATCGTATTTTTCAACGAAAGTATATACCCCCCCCAAAAAAAAAAAAAAAAAAAACTTGATTAAAATTCACAAACCTGCGGGAAAATGCAGGTTTCTTCAATTTGATTATTTTGACGAGAGCCTGATTCCACCACGCTGCCTCACAAACACATTTCTTTCGAATAGATTATAGAAATTGTCTATGTGCTACGACTTCAGTGGAATCGTGCGCTCGTCATTTTTCGGGGCATCTGAAGTTATTAATATCATCTTAAAGCCTTTTGGCACAGCGCCTTTTATACCCCGAGGGGTTGTATTCTTCACATTTTAGAATACTTCTTGTGCGAAGACTAGAGAGGAAGGCAGAGAAGGAGATGGGAGGACAACATTACTACAGAGTGGACTGGAAAGACGATGGGTGAGAATCTGAGGGAAGCAGAGGACAGAGAGAAATGGCGAGAGCTGGTTGTCAGCTGCAGTGGTACCCCCACAGTTGCCCCAACCACGGGATAGAAGAAGAAGAAGAAAGTTTCAAAGACGTCTTCGCACTAGAAGAAGTATTCTAAAATCTGAAGAGTACAACCAGAGTTTACAGTATTACTGTAAACCCTCTCTGATACAACCCTGAGGGTACAGTATTACTGTAAACCCTCTCTGATACAACCCTGAGGGTACAGAAGGCAGCGTTGACGGGTCTGGAAACTTCCACAATTAGATCTACATTTGTTTTTCCGCTAGGCATCGGTTGTGAACAAGACCCATTTCTCTTTTCACTATTTTGTGAGCCTAAGATTACTGGAGCTTTGGTAACTATGAATGAAGAGATGTTTTCAGCTGTGATAAGATCAGTTACATGTAAATATCTCACTTCAAACCACCAGTCAGCTGTTCAAATGCTCCAAGCCCTCAACTGTTATTTATTTTCTTATCGAGGTTTCTTATTCTGCGGTGTCGGTTGCATATAATATTATTCTATGGTCGCTTTTAAGCACAAGCGGGCTATCCCGAAAAATGCTGTTTTGAAAAAAATCAAAGGTACGGTTTTTTCACCCTTGTTCCGTTTCGTTAAAAGACAAGGAGAGTTTTCTCTATAACCAAACAAATATACACACCAATGAAACCAAACTTCTCCTATAGATAGGGCAATGCCCACTTTTTGTGTGGGTCAAGATTTCTGGAAACTCCCGAAATCTGGGTTAGCCCGCTTTTCCTTAAAATTAAAAGCGTCCATATGTTTTCAAGAAATATTTGGCCGAATTCGAAATTCAGAATGTTAAAGTTAATTAAAAGAGCAAGAAAAGATGCGTAATGTTGGTACAATATTATTATTAACTGAGTCAAAGATCGCGTATAACAACATAGTTCACTCTTCTCTTTGAGCCAATTTTAAAAAAGTGTCCTCAAAATTCGGTGGCGCCGTCTTCGAAAAAGTGCGGACTTTGCGATCAGAGTTACCCTACTTGTGTGAAAAACAATAAAAGTGAAACTAACAAACTGTGAGCTTTAAAAACAACACAAAAAACTGCAGCGCCGTCTGAACCAATGTGCGAACTTCCGTGAACACTTTTTTGGCTGAGTGAACTACATGTATCTTGTTATGTACGATCTTTGGCTGAATGAAACAGTTCTGTCTCTCTCCGGGAAAAAAGACCCACCAACAACGTTTGCTTTCTTAGCTGAATACAACGGAACAGCTTGCGGACGAGTACGTTCACATTCTATTAGTATTGTGTGTGGTTTTTGTTGTCTTTGATTATATTTATATGATGCACACTGAATGAGAACAGATAAACACCGATCAGATACAGCAAAGGCGTGCGTATGTCATTCTTTTTTTTTTTTTCTTCAAATAAGTGATTGAAACAGTCTTTACCGAGACAGGAATCGAACCTGTGGACCGATCACGGACCGTGGTAGGTTGGCGGGTGCTCTGGTGTGGTTTGCTTCTTCTTTCCTATCAAACAGCTATCGTCTTGATCTCCCCTCCTTCTTTCTTTGTGTTTGATACTCTCTTGTAACACCTCTAGATCTAATCTTCGGCACTTAGATGACTTGCTTATTGTGTTGCAAGTGCCGTACAACTTACGAAAAAAAGAAAGAAAAGATCACGGATAACAGGGAACTGCTGCGTTTTCTTTCCTAATCGACCTTACTATCGTCATTTTCCTTCTACTTCTTTTGTATCCGGTATTATTTCCAGGGGGCCTTGATAATCGAAGCGGATTTTTTGTTGTTGAGGCTAGAGAGGTGAGCAGACTAAACCTGATTCCCCGTTTGGACTTCTCTGTTGACATCCACCCCTTGGCGCTAATATGACCTTATGCAGTTGCGAGCGCCGTAAAACCTTACTAAAGCAAAATAGTCTTTAGATTACCGGTGTCTGTAGTGTAGTGGTGAGGCGCTTCTCTCTCGCTCACAGAAGACCTGATACAGTGTAATTATGACGACAAAGACCTCAGAATGCTGCAGGTGGGTGGAGGGCAGCACTGGTAGGTTCTACTTCTTTACGTTCTGTCTGTCTGTCTGTC